AGAGAGAGAGAGAGAGAGGGAAAGAAATGAGAGACTCGGTAAAGCTCGCTTTGTCGCCGGTTTCCTTTCTATGTTATTAAATTGTATGTGTTGAACCCCTTTCTCCAAGTAGCGTACTGTAACGCGTAGTGCGATACCGCAGTTGTCACTTAGGGGCTACCTCACAGCTGCAGTAGTCTATACCTTATTTGTCAGGTACCTTTACTCTCTCGAGAAATCTGGTTGCCTGAAATCTGGTTACGCGATCCTTTTGGATTCCCTTTCTTTCCCTTTTATTTCGTGTCGATATCATGACTCTTCAAGACACTGTCAATGATATTATAGGGATGTACAACAAAATCATTTAAAGCAAAGTGTTTTTAAGTAAGTCGATGTTTAACGATAAGCTTCGACAGATTCAAAAACAAAGTAGTCAAGAATACCCATAATGTCATTTTTTGATACGCAAAATTTTATTTAACATTTAGTACGAACTAATCTAAAAAATAATCTCCAGCCAATATGCACGTTATGTATACTTTGGCCTTCCATTCTTAACGGTACACTCAAATTCATTCAAAATTTACGATAAGTACACTAAACATAAGTCAATAAATTTAATTATTATATAGATTATGCAATAATAAATTACGTTCACAAACAAACAAGATGGTAATGTTCACTCAATCTGAGAAAAATGATATTACTTATGGGAATCCGTAATATTTATAAAAAATGAGTAAATTTAGGGCTTTTCTTTCGTTATCTCGGAGAGACTGAATAATGACTTGAAATTGCATAAGAATGGCATAATAATCTTCGATAGAGCACAACTGAATTCATCACACAGAATATACTTACAGTCGACCGACACTTTGATCTGCTTGCTAACCGTCGGTGGTATGCCATTGCTGGCGATGCATAAATACGCGCCCATGTCCAATCTCGAAATCCGCGCCATTTCCAGGGTTTCACCCTCCCATTCTGTCACTGAAATTACAATTGTTCAGCATATGTTATATGTCAAATACTTGTCGATCGATTCCAGTCAATTATTTTCCATTTTCATGCATCGTCATATATCTTTGATATCTTCACATTTCAACGGGATTTTATATCGGCGGAGAAAAATTACATTTTAATTCTTAAAAATGTAATTTTCTCGTTGTTAAGAGAAGTAAAATATAATGTAAATTATATAAATTTAATAAAAAAAATTAAATCTAATCTAATTATGTAAATATGTAAATTTAATAAATTATATATTACATTATTATATCGTGTTATATATTACTTTGTATGTTATATTGTATTCACACACCAGATAAAGTTTTATTGATCGAGATCTTGGAACCGTCGTCTCGTTTCCAACGAATGCTGGGCGTTGGACTTCCGGTTGCTTTGCAAATGAGACTCACATTGGCGCCCTCGCGAACAATCGCATCTGACGAACTCTGAGAATCGTCGATATTCGGTGGCACTATAACGATAAAAATAAACAATAAATTAATTAATGACACACACAAATTTTATAGATAAGATAGGAAATCAAAACAAAGTGCATAGGTAAAAAATACAAAATTATAAATAATGTAACTATGTGAAATAATGTAACTATGAGAAAGTTTAAACCGCCATTATTCGTTCAAAGTTAAACATGTATTAAACAAGAATAGCAGATACATAGACAATACGTATATAAACAATATATTTATTGAATAAATTTTTTCTCTTTGCCTCTTTCTACGTGTAATATAAATATGTTATAGAAACTCGCCTTTCTGTATTGCATAAAGAAATAAAATGTATAAATCAGAATAGTGATTGATCATTGATAACTCTTTAAATTTGCCATGACAATGATATTATTGCACATTTCATATTTGTGTATATTGACCACTGTCGTCACTGCTTTTGAATTAAACAGCTAACCACGTGTGCGTACGTACGCGAGAGGCGTATAATTCAATTATAATGTCGTCGTGGTAACGAATAATATTACTATATATAGACACATGTCGTCTGCAATGTCAACGTTGATCAACCTGGAAATGCAAGTAGCAAGTTGGTTGACATGTTTAAATAGACAAATATCACGCTGCTTATATGCGAATGTGACACACCTGTCGAATTGTTCGTCTTCTTCGTATACCAATTTATCAATCAATTTACGACGATCAATATATTAAACAAAAAAAAAAAAAAAAAAAAAAAAAAAAAAAAAAAAAAAAAAAAAAAAAAAAAAACGTTAAAAC